TTTCTCTGTATCCTCACGCTGACACAGCCCCACTGTGTGTAATGTTTTCCTTTCCCTCAAGTACAGTTATTTGTACCACAGTTTACAGTTATTTGTACCACAGTTTACAGTTATTTGTACCACAGTAGGACATAATTTTTTTTAAAAAAACAAGTGTTTTCCTAGATTAGTAATATTCTGGCTTTTGTGGCCTGGCTGCCAGTTCCCACCAGTGACTCTGATACCACATGAAATGACGGACAGCTATAGCTCTGAATACCTTTGCTGGGGAGTTATGGAAAGGGGCCATTTTTCTATTTTAGGCCTGTTTGTTTGTCCTAATTATGCTGCAAGCATGCAGGGACGCCTCTTGGAAATCTGGGGCATGAATTTGGATGAAAACGAAATCAGCACTAACATTACTCTGCCGGGTCAGACGGGGACGTGCTTTCAGGAGATGTAGGGAGAGCAGGACGTCAGACAGGCAGTCGCTCTCGTACAGATTTACCCTACATGCATGGCTGCTGAGGCACGAAAGGCGTCCAGCACCAGCCCACGGAATCTCATGGCTCTGCTGTCGGCCAGGAGCGCCAAGAGAACGGCAGGAACTAGAAGGGCAAGAAATAATATAGCCCCAGACCACAGCTCCGCCTGGCCACCTGAGGCCTGTGTTTGGCCAAATCAAAAATGTCAAATTCCATTTCAAATGTGTTCACCCGCTAAGAAAGAAAGTAATTATCTGAGAAATAACACTCTTAGGCCAGAATATCAAAGGCACTGTCTGGTTAACCTGAGATCTGCGACTGCCTGGCAAAGAGCACTTACTGGAGCCACATAATCATTTCCATCCCTTATATCCCTTATATATATATATAGGTCAGCTGGACAGTATCTAAACCTGTATGTTAAAGTTAGGCATATAGGCAGCTCTGCAGGAGGCAAGGAACTCAATTTATGTATCGTGATTTGTTTTTAGACACCGGTAGTACAAGCAGGCAGGAATTTGTCATACTATGACATTTAAAATTCAGTGGTGAAGAAGATCATTTACGAAGGGAGAGGGAAAGAAAAACTTTATGGCTCTGCTATTTTACTTTTTAATTTCCCTTGATGTTTTTTTTTTCTTTTTTTCCCCGAGAATACTGCTACAAGAAAGGGTTTCGTTATGATTAATGCCGACTTCGGGCGGAATCTGACAGAATCGCCCGCTGGCTGCAGCCACAGTTTCCGCGACGTGGAGGCAAACATAGCAGGGCAGCTGCCGATGCTGTCGCGGGAGTCGCTGTGTCTCGGGGACCAGCCTCTTGGACCGTGCTGCCTCTCTCTACCCAGAGACGGATCCGCTGCTGTTTGCATCTCTTCTGTCATTCTGGCTTTATCCCCACCTTAGGTGACAGTCAGCAATCCTGGGTGAATTGCCTGTGAGCTTCTGACTGCCCACATGCTTATTCGCTAGGATAACTCAATAATCAAGACTAGTCTTGGTTATATCAATCTGAACTACGGTGTCAGTTGGGGACTACTTGATATACTGTAGTCCCCAACTGACACGGATAATGTACATGAAATATCATTTAATTCCCACTCACGGCAGACACCCGATACTTTGTGTGGCCCATCGTAATTTAAATGCACTTGATTTATATTTTATTCATTTAGCTGATTTTTTTATGCAACATGAACCACAGTTTTGAGAAAGCAGGGTCAGCAGGACCCTGTAGCAGTAGGGGGTAAGGACCTCGCTCAGGGGGCCTGTAGCAGTAGGGGGTAAGGACCTCGCTCAGGGGGCCCTGTAGCAGTAGGGGGTAAGGACCTCGCTCGGGGGCCCTGTAGCAGTAGGAGGT